TAGCAATAGCAATAGCAATAGCAATAGCAATAGCTGTAGCAGTAGCAATAGCAATAGCAGTAGCAATAGCAATAGCAAAAGCAAAAGCAATCGTAATGGTAACGCTAACGGCAACGGTTATGGTGATGGTGTTGGTGATGGTGATGGTGTTGGTGATAGTGATGGTGATGTTGATGGTGATGGTGATGGTGATGGTGTTGGTGATGGTGATGGTGTTGGTGACGCTGACGGTGAAGGTGATGGTGATGGTGATCGTAATAGTAATAGCAAGCAATAAAATCTCTCAAGATCTCACGACTACGGATGATCATACAAACTAATATCAAATTTAGTTCTAGCAAGCTATTTATGACTTCTGCTTGACTAAAGTGCTTTTATCAGTTTCAGGTGCATGCCACTAGGAACACTCAATGATGAAACAATTATTTCGATACTGTTTAAAAAAGACATTAGGTTTTACTCGTTACAGTACTTGACTTCAACGTTACTATGATAACTTCAAGTGGCTGGATAATTTCAGTCCCAATTCTCGGAATATTAGGTCAAATATGTACTGTTTGAAATGCGAGGCTTACAGTATTACGTCAAGTACGATTTCTTTCCAAAATGGGTTAAAGAAACTACTCGCGAAAACCAAGTTTACCTGAGACAGAACTTCTTCATCGTTATCAGCCACCCAAGATCTTTTGGGTTTTCTCTGTTGCAATCCTAGCACTACACCATTTTGAATAACGTAACGAAGATGCAACCTGGGTCCTGTGACTAAATACCCTTCTGGTTTGAGACTGGAATAAAGAATGAAAGGCACACCAACGTTGTTCCAAAAGGTAAACCTGAGACATGGCCCTAAAAGAAACAAATAAAGACTACTTATTGTGTCAACGAAAGATCAAATATGAGTGTCTCTTATAAATTCTTTTCAGTCTGTTTGAACCTCGTGAGGACGTCGTACTAGTAAAAAGTCGACCAGACCTATACAATTTCAAAGTGACTGTCAGTGATCATTGATGCTGCTTTAACGTTCGTCTGGCATTTACCATAGCGGGCAACATTTCTAACTACTTATTAACCGAGAGTGAGGTCTTTACGGGAACTTCTCAGACCGAGACCTTGCCTAATTGACCGAGCGATAGCGAGGTCAATACTGTAAGGCCAAGGTTTGAGTTTTTTCCGTAAAGATCGAACATTCGAGGTTAATAAGTTGTTTATTGTTTCTTGCTTATTGCTTTGTTTTTGCAGCCCCGTAATCGGCCCGTGGGCATTACGGAAGAATAATGCCTCAGAATTAGCCAATCAGAGCGCGCGTTATATCGGCTATAAACACAAGCCATATAATGAAAGGGTATAATGACCTAGTGAAGCATAATCAGTATCTGATGAACCAATCGATTACCCATCCATCATTTCTTTGCTCATGCTTAATTGGTAAAGCTGTATAGCTTTATCAGTTATTTAAAAAATTGAATCCAGCGTCAAAACAATACTGTACGTACATTGCCAATTTGTTTTCTAAAGTCCTGAGAGCTGCATTAAATCGGTGATCTGCATACAAACCTCAGTTGAAAGCGCAATGATGGTCATGTCTTTCGGCCTTCGAAGGATAGAAAAATTTCCCAGGTATTCTTCACTAGGCAAGGTTTTGATAAGTCTCTACTGCCTGATGTTCGTCATTGGCGCCTAATGAACACTGTTTGGTGTTTCTTTTTCTTTCATTTTTAGGCCAAAAGAGGTAATACAAAGGACCTTGAAAAACTCGTTCACGCCCAGAGCAAGAAGCGCACTTACGGACGTCAATATCGTATTAACATAACGTGATGCTTCCGAGTTTCCCTGCTGTCGCGTTTTGAGTCGATTACGTAAGTCTGCCTACGTTTTTCGTGTTGTTGTTTATTGAAACAACAAGCAGACATCAGCATGTCAACAAACCGTTATAAGCTCGTGTTTCCGCAGCATCTCTCGTTGTCCCAAATTTCCACTCGTGTTTCTATTAAACAATTAGATTACGAGCTTGAGAATTCTATCACGTGACAGTTGACGAGGGCACAGCCCTCGTCAACTATCACGCATAGAAATCGAGAACGAATAATCTAATTGTTTTAGTATAAGTCTATTATCTAGGGCACACTGCTACGCTACTCACTA